AAAAGCACACACAAAGGCATTACTCAGTTCTGAAGGAGTGAGGGCTCCCTTCTGGGTGTGGTCCTTTGTACTGAAAACAAAATTTGAGAAATAAACTCTGAAAATGCAGGAGTTATTGGCTGAACTTTAGAAAGTATGGTGCATCAGATGTCAGTTATTTCCACAGCAATTCAGCATTCAAGGCATTTGAGTTTTCTGACGCTTCGGTCTGAACTTTTCGTGACTTTGCTCTGTGAATTGTTAACTCAGACAATAGCCTCCACATGATACGAATGGTTGCACCAACTGATTATCTATGATCAGCAACAAATGCTACAGCACCAAGTGATTAAGGTCTGAGAAAAAAGAGTCAAAGACTGACAACATTTTCTATCCTGTAATCTAATTCAATCAAGTCCAAATGAAACCATTCAGTAACTTAATTCCAACAGGATACCTACATATTGTGATTAAAATCTACAACTTCACTGCCTCCTGTAAGTTTGTTTCTGCTTTGTACCCACTTCTGAACTGCAAGACTTTGGTTACTTTCCTCGAGGCTGGTCTCTCACCCTCCAGACTAGAGGTCATCCAAAACACTACTGCTTATGTCTTGGCTAACAACAAACCCACTTCCCTGTCAGTGTCTCTGTTTACTGATCTACATTAGCTCACAGTGCATGAGATGTAGGAGCAGAAGTAGGTCATTCGGCCGATTCAGTTTACTTTGCTATTCCATAAGGTCATGGCTGATCTGATAATCCTCCAATCCACTTTGCTGCCTTGTCCCCATAACCCTGATTGCTGTACAGATTAAAATTCTGTCCATATCAGCCATCAATATACTTAACAACCCAACCTCCACTACCCTCTGTGGTAAGGAATTCCACAGAGTCACTACCCTCTGACAGAAGAAATTTCTCCTTATCTCTGTCTGAGTTGTGTGGAGCCTTACTCTGAGAAATGCCTGCTGGTCCCAGACTCTCCGACAAAGGGAAACAATCTTTCTTACACAACCTTGCCTGATAAGACCGTCCGTTCATTGCAGGGAGCAGCCTACTGAATGTTCCCTGGCTTGCCTCCAATGCCAGTAACCTTTTCCTTAGCAAAGAGAACCAAAACTGTTCAATGCCTTGTATAGTTTTAACAAAATCTCCCTACTTTTAATCTCTAGTTCCTTTGAATTGGAGGTGAACATTCCATTTGCTTTTTCTATTAATAGTATCAAGCAATAACCTGATTTTAAAACTCTATCTTTGTTTTCAAATCCACCTCATCCCTTCCTATCTCTGCAATCCCCTCCAGCTTTGCATCCCTCTGAGATATCTCTGCTCCTCTGATTTGGTTCCCGCGTATTCCCAATTATTAATGGCTTAAACATTGGTGCCCTTGCCTTTAGTTGCCCGGGCCTCCAAACTCAGGAATTATCCCCTGCCTCTCTACCTCACTTTCTTCCATTAAAATACTTGAAGCCTACTTCTCTGACCGAGCTTTCCATCATTTAAGCTAATGAGCTGGATTTTTACCGGGTGTCCAGTTCCCCATCTATCCCGGATGTACAGTCTGTTGGGAGTCCACCCAGGAGAGAGCCAGACTGCCGTTTTACACTCAGCGGGGCATTAACCGGCTCAGAGCAAGACTCCATCCTATTGGGGAGGTCACCTCACCTTAAGGAGTTGGTGCCAGTCCGATTGGCCAGCAGTCCCGTAGTCTCAGCTGTGCCGGGTTTGAGCAGTGGCCTCTGCTGGGACTACAGCCTGTGTTTGAAGTGGAGGGTATTATTAGGGAAGTAGGACTGAAGGCTGGGTATCTCTTGGGTCAGGCTGGCAGACCCCAGTGAGGGGTATGATGGAGTTGGGGGCTAGGTTGACTGACCAAGGTCAAAGAGGGGAGGGAAATGATCTTGAAGGGGGTGTTTCACCAATGGGCACAGGGAACGATCAATAAGAGGACTCCACCTCTTACCGAACACCAGCCCATGCAGCAAATGCCACTGGAGGTCCCACCTAGCCTGAGCCCCACCCCAAGGGTGGGTAGACTACCACTGCCCATGCTTGACTGTCTTATACTTTTCGCTCCCTCCCACAAATATCAAGTGTCTTCTTTAACTCTACTCTATCAAGCTCTTTCATAACGTAAAGACTTCTTTCAGCTCACCCTTCAGTATTGTCTTGTAGGAAGGAAAAGAACCCCAGCCTGTTTAATCTCAATTCTTTGCCTCCCTTCAATTGTGACCTTGTTAACTACTCATGTTTTATTTGTTACTTTCTAATGCCCCAATTACAATTTGCATGTATAACAGAACCTCACTGCCATGAGTGAGCGAGAGAGGTATATTATATGTAAAGACAGAGAGATGCAGATGTATATGGAGGGAGTCCCGGAATTGGGTTGGTTGAACTAGAAGCTTTAATCACCAGTGATGGGGTGAAGGGATCAAGTCAGGGTCAGAGGACTGAAGGGCGCAGATGGGGTTGATTGCTGGCAGACGTCAGTGTGATACAGTCACTAAAGTAGATGAGGCAATGGGGGAAATTAAAAACAAGGAATTTTTTTTATTCTTTCTTGGGATGTGGATATCATTGACAAGGCCAACACTTGTTGCTCAACTCTTATTGGTCTTCAAAGGAGTGGCTTGCGAGGGCAGTTCAGAGAACAGTTAGGGGTCAATTACATTGCTGTGGAATGGCAGTCATATATAAGCCAGGCCAGATAAGGACAGCTGATTTCTTTTTCTGTAAGAGGAGAGTGAACCAGGTGAAGTTTGTTTTATTTTTAAGAACAATAAATCAATGACAGTTTCATGGTCACCATTACCAAAACTGGCTTTCAACCGCAGACTTCTTTTAAATTGAGTTTCAGTTCCGCCAGCTTCCAATCTGGGAATCTGAACTGAAATCTCCACAGCAGTTATTAAGGTCTCTAAGTTGGCATTACCGCTATGCGACTGTCTCCCCTGCAATTAACACATTGGGGCAGAGGAACTGAAATAGGATAGCAGGCTTATGGTGGTGTATGACAGCACTGGGAGGACAGTCAGGAGGAAATAAATATAATCACATCTAAGGGTAAACAAACAAAGTGAACATGTAATCAGTGAATTTCGGCAGTAAATGACAACTGATAGATACATATATACGCAAGCTAATTAGATTTAATTTAAATGAATACTCAAGTTTATAGAACTGTAAAAATATAGAGTGAAGAATTTTTATAGGGAGTCATCAATTAATCATGTCAGCACTCATCATGGCATTTTACATGTGAAGTTTTTGTGCGTTAGATAAAGCGAAGACCATCAATGTGACACAATTTCATAGCAAAACCAGACATTGGACTAAGGCAAGGTTCTTAAATTACCCAACTGTAATGCACGATTGAGAAAGATTGTGTGGTGCATAGATAATCATGTTTCCTACATTACAAAAGTGACTACAACACATCAAAAACACTGCACCGACTGTAAAGTACTTTGAGAGTTCTTGAGGCCACAAAAAGAAGTATAAAAATGCAAGTCCTTTTCTTTTCATGACTATTCTTTTGACTTTATGTTTACCATCAATTTCGAACAGTTCCACAAGACACTTTTGTTGAGCTTTTTTTTTAAATTAAATCACAGGATGTGGGTGTCACTGGCAAAGTCAACCATAATTGCCCATTGTTAACTGCCCTTGTGATTAAATAAGTTGCAAATGTATTTTGTAATTCTCTTTCAATATTCTGATTGGAAACGAGTTTTAGCAAATACCTGGTCAAACTGAACTTACCCAGCAAATTCTGTTTTTATTCTTGCATCTAATTTCACTTTCCTAACATAGATCCTCCTGGTCTATAATGTGACATCTTTGTAATTTTCAACATGAGCTGATCAATCAAAGGCAGCCTGCACAGATTTACCGTCTCATAGGAGGCTGTTTAAAAAAAATACAGACCTATACCTTCAGAAGAATAGGCAGCATCCTGACTAGAAAATTCACTGATGTATATGTTTCAAGAGTTAGGGTTAAGAAAGTGTTGTACTGGATTAGAAAAGATGCACATCTGAGATTCATGCTCAACTTGAATGCTGTATCTAAATTTGCTGAGGAGATCTGGCAAGGAGCAGCACTAAAAGCTTCAGAAAGACAGATGGAGGCTATCAGGACAGGAAATAATAACAACATTGAAATAAAACCAGTAAGTACTGAAAATAATCACTGATCTGACAGCAACTGTGGAGAAACAGGGTTAAGGTTTCAAGTCAAGTATGACTGTTCTTCAACTATAAATTCAAATTAATGTGGATAATTGCACCTTTGAACAACTCTGACACTTCATCTGGAGGTCATCAACAGCTTCAGATACCTCAGTTCAACAATGACCAGAAACTGCCTTAAGGTCAACATGAGTACCAAGACAAGGCACAACTGTCATGTTAATGCTGAGAGGTCGAGTGTGAACAAACAACAAACTAATGAGAAATACAAAGCTGTGTGTGTACTAGGCTTGTGCTGTCAGCACTCTTCTTTATAGTCGCAATGTCCATACAACTCACCTAAACCAGACTCTATCGCTTCAGCTGAATATTGGATATCTCCTGACAATGCTGGAGTGCTGGATGTGGGAAACTGACTGGTGTGCAAGAATCTACAGCATGATTGCCCTCAAGTCAGTGGTGATTATGGAGATTAGGACCCACAATTGTAGGTATGGTCACCAACGGTGCAGTGTTGATAATTGAGGATCATTAGAAAGCCAGAATTGCACCAGTAGCTAATCAGCTTTGAGTGCTGTTGGAAGTTGTAGAGAGTCGGAGGGTGGAGCCAATACAGGGATTTGAAATAAGGGATGAGAATCTTAAAAAGTGAGGCAGGACACATCGTAGGTCAGCGAGCACAAATGTGGGGGCAGGAATTTTATTCTAGGTTGAGACAAAGCAAAGAAAAATGAACAAAAACAGAAGTTGCTGGAAAAGCTCAGCAGGTCTGGCAGCATCTGTGAAGAAAAATCATAGTTAACATTTCAGGTTCGGTGACACTTACTTGTCAAAATTGTTCTCCTCTTGCACTGTTGCTCAACTCCTCCCTGCTTCTTTCCAGAGATGGTGAATGGCATCTCAAATACAAACCGCTGAATATTGTGACTTTTCTCAAAATCTGTTTTTCTGTCCAGCAACTCCTTCTCCTCAAGGTATGGAGTCACGTATGTCACTTGGATGTAGGCATATTTCGAATCCAAGTCTTTCGGATTGACCTGTCCAAAAACAGTACAACTTTATTGGAGCATATGTAATCTGTGGTGTTACGTCAAGGACAAATTAACAATTTGACAGAGTGACATATCGCTCCCAACTTAGTAAACAGAAAGACAAGTGTGAACGAATGCACCTCACCTGTGACTCTACGCAAATGTAAATTCTATTTTATGTTCAGAGATGCAGCCTTCCTAATAGGTTCAGCCTCTCACTAACAGTAGATTAACTGGCGAATTCTCCCAATTGATACTCATGTGTGGTGAATGATTGTTATTTGGGCTAAAGACAAGTGAGTTGTGTTGACTGTCCAATGATCAGTGTAGGGTCCACCACTCTTTCTACAAACATATTAAATCACTCAGACTGGGGAATGGAGAGACTCATTTCAAAGTTCACAGATGTGAAGAAATTCAGAACTGCACTATTCATTAAGAAGGGTAGTGACAGAATCCAGGCAGAGCTATGACATATACAGAGACAAAGCACACCAAGAAGTAAAAATATTGTTGGGCTATGGGGAATGGACAGGGAAGAGAGGATTGACTGGATAACTTGTCCAAAGAGCTAGCACTGGCATGATGGGTCGAATGGCCATTTTCTGCTCGAAGATCCAATGTATGGAGACCGTGCCTGGCTACATTAAGGGTGACTACAGTGTTGAAGTATAATTAATTGTAAAGCACTTTCGAACGCTGTAATATAAATAACAAAGGCCCTGCACATGAAGGAAGATATAAAAGAATTCAGGACAATTCAGAAAAGATTCATGACAATAGTGGAAATGTTGAGGACTTTCAGGAATAGAGATAGATTGGAAAAGTTAGGGCTGTATTTCCTTCGAGAAAAGAAGGCTAAGAGGAGATTTGGTAGTGAGCAGGACAGTGGAATTAGTTTGCAAATTGATACAGTGAGAGCAGTATGGCAGCGACAAGGGCAGTGGGATTCATTTCAATATTGGTACAATACAATGGGCAGAGATCGGGCCATTGGGGACAGTTTGAGACTGATTCAGGGTTATGTGGGGACAGCAGGACAATGGGATTAGTTTTGGATTCATACAGTGTAATGAGGAGTGAATGAGGAAGCCAGATTATATGGGATTGATACTGGGCTATGGATAGAGAAAGGGATATTAAGATTAGTTTGAAATTGATGTTAAAAAAACTTTTTAGATGCAGTAAATGGTTAAGGTAAGAAATGCACTGAGTGTGTGGTGAGAACACATTCAAAAGGGAATTGGACCTGTAATCGAAAAAGAAGTAAAATATTATCAGGAGAAGGTGGGAGAATGGTACGAAGTGAACTGCTTATTCAGAGAGCTGGTGCAGATATGATGGGCCAAACAGCCTCATTTCATGCTGTTACACCATCTGTGACACCATGATATCCCATACATCCAAATAAACACACAGATAATGGGACAATTTGCCATTTTCTAACTGATGTGAGAATCATCTCCAAATTCCTCTGGTTCTGCCACTTGTGAAGCCTCTATTCCCTTATTTTCATCATTGGTGACTGTGCCTTCATGTTCTTAGGCCATGAGGTTCATACATTAAACTTCTAGACTTCTCTCTCCTCCTTGAACATGCTCCTTAAAAGCTATCTCTTCAACCAAGCTTTTTGTTGCCTGTCCTGATATCATCTTGTGTGGTTTAGTGTTGGATTTTATTTGGTACTGCACCTGTGAAGTCCCTTTGCTACAGTGAAGGTGATATATAAATGTAAGTTGTTTTTGACTGACAGGTACAGCCTGAGTGCACCTTCACATCACAATTGAAGGGAGGTTTTCTTTTACATATTTTTGGGCATCTCTGACCAGACCAGCATTTGTTGCCTATCTCTAACTGCCCCTTAAGTAGGTCGTGGTGAGATGACTTCTTTAAACACTGCTGTCCATGTTGTGTCGGTACACCCACAGTGTAGTTAGGACAGGAGTTCCAGAATTTTGACCCAGCAACAGTGAAGGGATAGCAATGTGGTTCCGAGTCAGGATGCTGTGTGGCTGTAAGGGGGTGTGGTGTTCTCATGTCTCTGTTGTCCTTGCCTTTTTAGGTGGTCGTGTATTTGGAAGCTGTTGTTAATGACAGCCCAAGTCAGAAGGAGCTATTCTCCAACAGCTTGTGATTTCAAATAAATCTGTTGGACTATAACCTGGTGTTGTGTGACTTCTGTCTTTGCCCACCCCAGTCCAACACCGGCACCTCCACATCATGGCTATCTTTTTAAAAAGGGCAGTTGGAACAGTGGTATGTTTCTATTATTGCGGGGTTTTTTTGTCAAGTCTTTTGCTGAATAGACCATGCTCCTAATCACTAGGGTATAACTTACCTTCAGCCTGCTCCATATTTTAATCCAGGCTTTGAAAAGTCTTTTAGGGGCTTGATTATATTTATAATCAAGAATTATAAAAATAGGAGTTACTTAAAGATCTGTTTATAACCATAAACAATTAAGTCACACAGCACAAAGTATTTGAACCTCCCATATCTTTCAGATATATTGAAATTTTGGAAACTCCTGGGAGGTAACCGGACTCATTTCTCAAGGGAAGAAATGCATCATGAAAGCAGCAGATTGCAAAAGGTAAAAGATAAGGAAGTGCTCACAGAAAAGCAGACAGATTAAAATGCTGCCCTCCTTACCTTCCCATCATCGTAGATCATCCGCACATTCTCGGAGCCAAATTTGTCCGAGTAAAGTTTCAGAAGTCGCTGCGATATCTCAGACAGCTGGGTCAGTTTTGGCTCTTTGTAAATATATTCCTTGCCATCCTCATCCTCAAAGAAACCCTGTTAAAAGTGACAGTGAAGTAAGCCAGGTTGACATGTGAAAAACACTCACAAGCAGGTGCATAAAGCAATGAATCAGTCAACTCAAAAGTTTGAGAACGACAAACGAAGGCAAACAAAAGATTCTCCAAACTCCCCCAAATGCACTATTAAGGCCAAGTGGTTCTGAATTGTTTCTTTTAAAGGAGGAAATGAAGTTCATGGCTGTAAATGTACAGCAATCGTCACCTTGGCCACATGTTCAATGCCATATAATCAAATAATTTTGTTTTTTTTAAATTGATACACTTTTCTAGCTTCTTTGGGGAGAAGAATCCAGGTGTCATTTTTATTTTGGAGTGATACTAAGATGTGAACTTCGTGCCTGTTTTACACAGCAACAACTGGTACTGCTTTTCAGGTTAGTACAGGTTGAGAACGTTAGACTGCCAAAGCTTGGTCAGAAGGGGTTCAAACACACCCGGAATTATTCACAACTCATGGATAAGACTCAGCAACCAAATTAGTTGAAATTTACAGAAAAGGGTTGGATTTTTGCAAAAACACAAGCTGATGGTCAACACCAAGTCACCCTCTTTTATTTTGCTACAGAATATAAATGGTAGATTTTGTTTGCTGGAAAGATTCCAAGCTAATTCTTCCCATTTCTGCTGTTAAGTGAAGGATCAATTATAATGCTGTTGGGCACAATCCTACCCTCCTGAGAAGGGGTGGGCAAGGTGGCAGCTGGGGCAGACAAGCGGGCAATGTCAGAGTTTTCAGTCACCTGTCTTTTAACAAGGATTGGTTCTTGAAATGATGAAAGTACCGTTTCTCCAAAATGATCTGCAGGTCTTTTGCCAAGCTACACAAAACTGTCAGCGGCTGTAATGCTCTCAGTGCCTCAATAACACTGGCCCTCAAAAGCAGTCCATGTTGTGTGCGGCTGAGGTTGCATTTTGTGTAGATTCAGGTCACCTTCAGGACCCGGCTTAAAAAAAATCACAAATAGCAGCGAGAGGAGGCACAGACCGGAGGAGGAACTGTTGGGCTTTATTAAATACGGTACATGGAATTAAACCAGTCTGAAGTGTAGACAGATAGAGTACAAGTAGTTACAGTAGCTATCATTGTGCTAGGAGTATACATGAATGATGCACAAGAATTTTATGAAGTATGAAAGATGTGCATTGTTGATAGACTGACAAAAACTATCCACATCAAATCAAGAGTGCCTTTAATGCAGTGAGGTTTACTGCATTATTTGTAATACCATCATTGATTTACCTCTGTATCTCTCTCATTGTCTGTAAACTGGTATTGCTAAGAAAGTTTTAAAAACAAAGAACAAATGACAATAATCACATTTATTCCTAGCAGTCACTGTATAGGAAATCACCCAAAAACTAAAGAACACACCAAAGCTAATAATATATAAAACAAAAGCTGTTGGACTTCAATCTGCTTCAGTGAGTTTTAAAGCTAGATATTCTACAATTCTTTATTTTGGTAAAAAGGAGGATCGATGATTTATTACAATGCAAAGTGGATTACAGTCAGCCAAATTTTCCACTCCTCTACATGCACCACTATGAACAAGGCAAGGCAGTGGATGGTGTTCCTAACACAGCACTTCTAACCTCTACATTTAGCTAGACAGTTATGATTGCAAAGCAGATGACTTCAGACACAAACAAACAAGACCACACTAAGGCAAAATTAAGTGCTCATATCTTACATGGAAAGACCTTAGCACACAACTTACCGCTGCCTTTAAGAGGGGAAAAGAGTGGAAAGAATGTATTAATGAGATGCTGCAGCTTAATATAAACAGCAAGCCGTTTTGCAAACAAAACATTTCAGTCAAATTGTGTTTTAAATTATACCTTGTTGATTAAGATTTAAACAAAAGAGTGTTTACAATTTAAATCAAGGACTGCTTTTAGTTCCCACAGCCTTTAAAGCATGCTCAACCACGTTTCCACTTTTGTTTTCAATTGAATTGCAGGAAAATAAAACAAAAATCATTTTGTAACTGTGTGACTCAGGCGTTACTCCAGCTTTGTAAGTACCAACACCTAGAAATAAACTGGACTGCGAGTGTTTTGAAGATTGCTGGGTGAACTAACAACAAGAAAGTACAGATATAATCTTGCAGCAGAAAAGGCAGCCACTCGATCCATTGTGCTGGCTGTTTGAAAGAGTTCTCTAATTCCACTCCCCTGTTTTATTCCCCCTTTGTCCTGTAATTTTCACTCTTTCAGGTACTTTCCAAGTCCTTTTTGAAAGTCTTACTTATCATAAAAAATCTCCCCATCTCCCTCTGACGGTACTTTTTCCCCAGTTACCTTAAATCTATTTCCCGTGGTTGCTGGCTCTCTTGCGACCAGACACAATTTCTCTTTCCTTATGCTAGCAATACTTTTAAAAGTTAAAGAAACAAAACTATGAAACCTCTCAGAACAAATTGGTTCAGCAAAACTTTAAGTTGCATAACGTAGTAACTGGTAAATAGTCAAACAGACAAAAGTGATAAATACCTGCCCAAAAAAGGCTACCCGAAAGTAGGTGCCTAGTAGTCTTTTGCCTGTGTGAGTAACTTCAGCAATTTTCTTGTAAGCTTGATGCAGAGTTTCATAGAGATGGGCAAGTTTCTGAAGGTATGCAATAGAAAGAATCAAACAGAATTTCCTCTCCCACAAACACATTCAGCAAAAAAACCAATTGTATTAAATAGAGATAACAAGGTGTAGAGCTGGATGAACACAGCAGGCCAAGCAGCATCAGAGGAGCAGGAAAGCTGACATTTCGGGCCTAGATCCTTCTTCAGAAATTATATTAAATAGGCTACTTATGTTTACTTTGCCTGTTTAGTTTGAAAAGCATTACTAATTTATAAAAGATATTACAGTAGAGAAACAGGCTATTCAGCTTTGATGAGTCTTATGGTTTCTGCTTCACATAAATGTGTTCCAGCCCTCTACATCTCCTCCTATTCGGACATCCTATCCATTTACCATCATGTTTATACATTTTCTCCTTAAACTCATCTTCATCACTCTCTCTGGTAATCATTCTATATTGTCACCAATCTCAGGGTAAAGAAAGTTTTCCCAATTTCCCTATTGCATATATCAGTTTATAACTTTCGGTTTTGTTCTCCCCTAGAAGTGGAAATATCTGTTCAGCTAACTATGAATCATCTTCATAATGTAAAGACTTTAAATTAGGTCATTTCTCAACCTTCCCTTTCCTGAAGAAAGGAACCACAGACTGTCAATTCTCTCCTGACAAATAGAAATTCAGTCCTTGTATCATCCACATTAACTTTTTTTTGTACCTGCCCCACTTTTAAACTAACAATAAGGTTAATCCGGTTATACTAATTATTGGCTTGACTTGCTCAAGGTGCATATCTCTTTGTTATACATCTCCCTAACTTATCCAAGGGCTAAACTTGACTTACCTCAAATTCACGTCTTTTTTCATAAACTGGAATTATTAGCTTGTACACATTCGAAATCAGCTCATAGCGTTCAGCCTTCCACAGTCCATCAGCACATTGTTCCAATAATTCCATCAGCACATCCTGTTCAAAAGTCAAAATTAGTTGGGCATCAGTATCCAAAAACAACTGTTCCAATGAAAAGTCACCGACCTGAAACGTTAACTGTTTCTCTCTCCAAGGATGTTACCTGACCTGCTGAGTATTTCTAGATTTCTGTTTTGACCTGTCATAACGTTGTACTATACAGGAAGCCTTCGGCCCTGCTTGCTCTCTGCGGTCCATTCCCATAGTTCTGCAAATTTAATTTTTCAAGTCTTATCCAATTATCTGTTGAAAGGTATTATTGGATCTGCTGCCATCATTATTTCAACCTTTCTATTTCAGAGCTCAGCAACTGCATTCTTTAATAAATATTTCCTTATTTACTTGTTCTGAGTGGGGTAGCACTCTCATCTTTCCATCAAAAGGTTCTAGATACAACTCCAAAAAAGGGTTGCTAAATGGAAAGCATAGATTTAAGATAAGGGGCAAGAAGATTCGAAAAGGAAAATGAGTTTTTTTATGCGGAGAACTTATGATCTAGAATGCACTGCCTGAAAGGGTAGATTGAATAGTAACTTTCAAAACGGAATTGGATACAATGACATGTCGATGATAGGGCAGCTCAATGGGCAACCCAGTGGCTCAGTGGTTAGCACAGCTGCCTCACAGTGCCAGGGACCCAGGTTCGATTCCACCTGTGGCCAGACTATCTGTGTGAAGTTTGCACATTCTCCCTGTGTCTGTGTGGGTTTCCTCCAGGTGCTGCAGTTTCCTCCCACAGTCCAAAGATGTGCAGGTTAGGTGGACTGGCCATGGGGAATGCAAGATTACAGGGACAGGGACAGGGACAGGGATTGGTCTGGGTGGGATGCTCTTCGAGGGTTCATGTGGACTCAATGGGCCAAATGACCTGCTTTCATACTGCAGGGATTCTATGAAAGTCGCATCAATTTCCCTTTAAACTGAAAAACTCGACCGACTGGCATCTCCACCCCACTCCTATCCAAATACCAATGTGCACGTCAATAACCAGAAGACACTCTGTGAGCCTGTGCCTGATTATGAGATAACATTGTTCTGAAGCAAACCGTTAAAATAGATTAAGGTCAGTGTACTGCCAACACATAACAGAGAGATGCTTTGAACATTCTCTGGGAGTAGTGGTTACTTGTGAACACAAGAAAGCAGCATTTCATTCACATTTTACAATTATAGAGTCATAGAGCTCTACAGCATGGAACCAGACCCTTTGGTCCAACTCCTCCATGCTCATGAGATATCCTAAATTAATCTAGTCCCATTGGCAGCATTTGGCCCATATCTCTCCAAACCCTTCCTATTCACGTACCCAGTTAGATGCCTTTTAATTTTTTTTCTATTCATTTGTGGAATGTGGGCATCGCTGGCTGGCCAGCATTTCTTGCCCATCCCTAGTTGCCCTTGAGAAGGTGGTGGTGAGCTGCATTCTTGAACTGCTGCAGACCACCTGCTGTGGGTTGACCCACAATGCCATTACAGAGGGAATTCCAGGATGTTGACCCAGCGACAGTGAAGGAACAATGATATATTTCCAAGTCAGGATGGTGAGTGACTTGGAGGGGAACTTTCAGGTGGTGGTATTCCCTTGGCCTTCTAGATGGAAGTGGTCATGGGTTTGGAAGGTGCTGTCTGAGGATCTTTGGTGAATTTCTGCAGTGCATCTTGTAGATAGTACACACTGCTGCTACTGAGCGTCGGTGGTGGAAGGAGTGGATGCTTGTGGATGTGGTGCCAATCAAGCGGGCAGCTTTGTCCTGGATGGTGTCAAGCTTCTTGAGTGTTGTTGGGGCTGCACCCATCCAGGCAAGTGGGGATTATTCCATCACACTCCTGACTTGTGCCTTATACGATGGCGGACAGGTTTTGAGGAATCAGGAAGTGAGTTACTTGCCACAGTATTCCTAGCCTCTGACCTGCTCTTGTAGCCACTGTGTTTATGTGGTGAGTCCAGTTGAGTTTCTGGTCAATGATAATCCCCAGGATGTTGATAGTGGGGGATTCAGTGATGGTAACACCACTGAATGTCAAGGGTTGGTGGTTAGATTATCTCTTATTGGTGATGGTCATAGCCTGGCATTTGTGTGGTGCGAATGTCACTTGCCACTTATCAGCCCAAGCCTGGATATTATCCAGATCTTGTTGCATGTGAACATGGACTGCTTCAGTATCTGAGGAGTTGCGAATGGTGCCGAACATTGTGCAATCGTCAGCGACATCCCTGCTTCTGACCTTATGATGAAGGGAAGGTCACTGATGAAGCAGCTGAACATGGTTGGGCCTAGGACACTACCCTGAGGAACTCCTGCAGAGATGTCCTGGAGCTGAGATGATTGACCTCCAACAACCACAGCCATCTTCCTATGTGTCAGGTATGACTCCAACCACCGGAGAGTTTGCCCCCGATACCCACTGATTCCAGTTTTGCCAGGGCTCCTTGATGCCACACTCAGTCAAATGTAGCCTTGATATCAAGGGCTGTCACTCTCAGCTCATCTCTGGAATTCAGCTCTTTTGTCCATGTTTGAACCAAGGCTGTAATGAGGTAATGTTGTAATTGTACCAGCCTCCACCACTTCCTCTGGCAGCTCAGTCCATACATGCACCACCCTCTGTATGATAAAGACTGCCCCTCAGGTCCCTTTTAAATCTTTCCCCCCTTACCTTAAACTTATGCCCATTAGTTTTGGACTCCTCTACCCTGGAAAAAAGACCATGGCTGTTCACCCTCTCCATGCCCCTCATGATATTATAAACTTCTTAAAGGTCACCCCCTCAGCCTCTGATGCTCCAGGGAAAAAGCCCCAGCCTGTTCAGCCTCTCCCTATAGCTCAAACCCTTCAACCCTGGCAACATCATTGTAAATCTTTTCTGAACCCTTTCAAGTTTCACAACATCTTTCCTATAGCAGGGAGACCAGAATTGAATGCAGTATTCCAACTTCTATACTTAATGCACTGACCAGTAAAGGCAAGCGTGCCAAATGCCTTCATTATCCTGTCTACCTGTGACTCAACTTTCAAGGGACTATGAACCTGCACTCCAAGGTTTTACTAACTGGCATTACCCATTCCCAGTATGTGCCAGATGAGGCAAAACCTATTGTACATGAAAAGGGGGAAAAGGTTGCAAGATTCCAGTAAAAGTGGAAGTGGGACTGACTGGGTGGTTGTTTCAGAGAGTCAGCACAAACATAAATTTACTGAATGGTCTCCTTGAAAATTCCTATGCAAATTAATTCACTAATATGGCAACACCATTGACCGGGATAATTAATGCAGCAGGTGTGTTAATGCCCAAAATTTAATTTTGCAAAGTAAGCTCGCAAAGCAATAAAGCAAAGATTTATCAGCAATAAAAGCCAACATAAACATACAACTGTGTTGTAAATATAAATATCACAATATCAGTAGCTGTATTACAACATCACTAACAGTGATAAGCAAAAATAAGAATCAAACACAGTACAAGTCCAATAAATTCATAATTGAAACAAAGCCTGCAAGTTTCTCTATGTTAACTAACACTGCACTGCAATCGAAAGCTGAAACACAGACATGACATAAAGTCTTGTCATGAATGGACTCATTTCCTTCTTCGTGGCTTAGAGTTTGCACATTCTCCCCATGTCTACTTGGGTTTCTGCTGGGTGCTCTAGTTTCCTCCCCTAGTCCGAAAATGTGCAGGTTCGATGGATTGGCCATGCTAAATTAGCCCGTGGTATCCAGGGTTGTACAGGTCAGGTGGATTAGTTTCAATAAATGCGGCATTACGGGGATAGGGTAGTGGGGGAGGGGGGAGTCTAGGTCTGGGTAGGATGCTCTTTGGAAGATCGGTGCAGACTCGACGGGCCAAATGGCCGCTTTCTGCACTATAGGAGTCAATGATTCTAAGTATTACATTGTTGTAAGTATTACATTGTTGTAAACTTATTAATGGTTTGGAAAATACTGCAACACTGAAAAATACCACATGCAAACCCAATCAATCACCTTCTGTATGGAGGGGCCTTTAAAAGTATTCACTTTCCCAGTACCCTTTTGCTTTTCTGATGCCTTTTCTCCACTTGAGTACTTTTCTGACTTTCAGTTCCAACTAACTGAATCCCACCTGACTGGCTTCCTAAACAAAGTCGAAATCCTGTTTAGCACATGTGCCTCCACCTCCCCCCACCCTCATGATGACACAATGTCGCTGCCTTCGGGTGGCTCCTATTCTGACAATGCCTCAAATTTAAATCAGAAGTCACACCACACCAGGTTATAGTCCGACAGGTTTATTTGAAATCACAAGCTTTTGGAGCACTGCTCCTCACCCAATGAAGGAGCAGCGCTCCGAACGCTTGTGATTTCAAGTAAACCTGTTGGACTATAACCCTGGTGTCGTGTGACTTCTGACCTTATCTAACCCTGTCCAACACCAGCACCTCCACATCAAATTTAAATCATCTTTGTCGTCATAACCTGGCCTCAGCTCTCCCCCATCTCTAATCTCCTCTAGACTCTGAATCTTCTGTGATCTGCATTCCTCTAGTTCTGGTCTGTTGCACATCCCTGGTAACAAGCGCACCACCATCAGTGCTAATGGATGCAAATGCCTGGCCCTAAAGTTCTGGTGCTCGCTCCCCCTTTAAATCCTTTCTCTTAATCCTTTCTCTTTCTTCCTTTTAAGACGCCTCAGCAAATTGTCTCTTTGGCAGAGTTATGTGGATATCTCCATACATAACTTGGTGTTGAATTATACCTCGTAATGCTACTGTGAAACATCTTGGGACATTCTGAGTGAGATGATAGCAAGATAGGCTCTGGGCAGCAGAATTCTGAATGAGTTCAAGTTTATGCAAGAGACAAAGTGGGAGGCTGGCCAACGGTGCACTGGAATAATCAAGAGGTAACAGGGAAGTAGATAAAGGTTTCAACAGCAAATGAAATAAGACATGGATTGAGCTGAGAAAATTCTATACAAGTAGAAATGTCAGTCTCAGTGATAGCAGCTCAACTCAGGGACATGCATCTCATCACTTGCACAAACTCTGTGCCTGTTCCAACGCCCATTTCTTATGAGAGTCTGCCTCCTCTCCTCCAATGCATTGACCAAAGGGATTTAATAGACAAAAATTATTTTATAAATAATTGACAGTGAACTGAAACAGATAGGGACAAAGACAGTTGGAGGAGAGAGAAAATACAATATTGAGAGCATTTAGTTACCAGAATCCTGATAAAAATCATTCAGCACATCACCCTCAGGTATTTATAGACTTGGTGGTATAATTAGCTCTGAAACATTCAATAGCTTAATGGGGCCCATCACATCCTCCTCCCTTATTTGATGCTGAATCAGCAGCTCCGCTTGGGGAATGAATCACCGAGCAGTGGTGGTGAATAAGGTGCAAAATGGGAGTGACGTTGTGATGTCTCTCATACCTTTCTGAGCAGCCAATGGGACAGCTTACCAGTCACTGCTGCCATAGGGCTCAACAGGCTAGAGTTTATACCAGCCTAGGAAATGCTTAATAGTGAAATAGTCCAATACTGCATGAGCTGACGCTGGAGGGATCACTGACAAAGGCAACACAAAGGCACTAATTATCAGTAAATCAAATCCGTTGCAATTTAACTGCTGGTTAAAAAGAGGTTCTATTTTTTAGGCAACATTAATTATGTTGGCGATGTTCCTATCAATGATTAACTATTGGTGCTCAGTAAGAGGTGAACAATCTATCACAGGGGCAATGTGTTTTTAGAACTCTTGATAACTACTTTTGCAAATTCAGTACATTCTTATCACTCCGATGTTTGCTTACAATGTACATTTTGCATTTACCGATAATGAGGTAGGCTGAAAGAATATTATGCCCAATGTTAATTAAGTTATAATGCTCCAATATTAATGTATTCCAGTACCATCATTGATGGAGCGCTGTGCTGCAGAAGGTGCCATCTTTTGAATGTGACTTCAGAAATCATGGCCTCCTCTATCCTCTCTGATCAATGTAAAAGATATCACTGGATAAGTCTTAAGGGAAGGGAGCTTTCACAAATTGAGTGTCTTAAAAATGTGAACAACAGGTGAGGCTAGCCATCTCACACTGTTATTACCTTAATTCATAAGTGGTTTGCTCCTTGAAAAGAATACTGCCTTCAAGCCAAAAGTGATGTTTTGCCAACCACACAAATGAGTGAAGTGAGAAACAGGTTTCAGCACTGGTGTGATACCAGGTTCTACATCCCACAAACTGGCATACTGTATCGAACAACACACGCTGCTGGCCCTTCGCAGTGGGCAGCAAACTGTTCTTGCTCAACCAGCCTGTGACTGCAAGCCTCAAAAACAAACTATATCCACCACTAGATGTGATCCTGATAACAGGAATGATTTCTTTAATAAGACCACCTGCCAGCGTTGCAGTGTGATGCATTAGTGTGTGCTACCAGCTACATACATAAATATGTAAGATCTTGTCTGGCAAAGGCAAGAGGGATTTGTATATACATTGCACCAGGAGAGGGCTAAGCCCTGCTCATGCCTATGCCAATAATGGACCAACCAATCAGCACCCTCTTCTCATTCCGTATAAAATAGTGTCACTTTCTTTTCAGTTCCCCCAACTCTGTGTCTTGTGTCCTGGTTCTGATGAGTGCAAGATGAAAAGGTTCAACTTCCGGTCTCCTTTCAGCAATGCTTAATTTCTCTCCCGTCCAGCACATTGTAAACAAAATATATCTCTGGCCATCAGCACATTGGTGTTCAGAAACAAAAACGGAAAAACTCAGCAGGTCTGGCAGCATCTGTGGAGAGAAATCAGAGTTAATGTTTCGGGTCCAGTGACTCTTCTTCAGAACTGATGGTAGCTAGGAAAAAGGTTTTTTTATGCAGAAGGTAGGGAGTAAATGACAGAGCCCAAAGAGAGAGAACAGTTGGACAGATAAAGAAGTGGATGATGATTAGCTTAGGAGAATGGCTCTAATGGGGGCTATTAGTGGCTAACAAAGGGCTAACTATGTGATAACAAGGCCTGGTGTGTGGAGGTTGGTCTAAGGCCATGGGAGAAGGTGCCTCAAGCCCTAAAATTGTTGAACTCAATATCGAGTCCAGAAGGCTACAGGGTCCCCAAGTGGAAAACTAGGTGCTGTTCTTCCAGTTGAGTGACCCTTTCTCAGTTCTGAGGAAGGGTCACTTGACTCGAAACGTTAACGCTGATTTCTTTCCACAGAAGCTGCCAGACCCGCTGAGCTTTTCCAGCAATTTCCACTTTTGTCTCTAACTTACAGGATCTGCGGGTCTTTCAGTTCTTCTTTCAGCCAAATAAGAGTTCAAAAACTAAAAAAGTGCAACGTTAAAAGTTATGATAATGTCCAGAGTAATTCACCTCATTGTAGTGAACATCTTGCATGCCTACATCTTCCATCATTGCGGCCTCCTCATCTATGTTGGGTGTGATCACCTTGAAGGCTGTGCAACCTTGTTTAAATATACCTGGAATATAACATGGAAACGCATTAATCTAAACAACACTTCCTGGTATCACTTATATTTCATATATCAAAATTTACATCAGCATGGTCACCTAGAACATCTGATTACCAGGGTATAGTATTGCTTAAACTATCCCCTGCACCCAAAGATCAACATAAACTTTTCTTTTCTCCCTCACTGGAACATAGGAAACTAAAGCAAGAGTAAATTACTTGGTCCCAGAGCCTGTTCAGCCATTCGAATGGATTGCGGTTGATCTTCGACTTCAGTGTAATTCTCCCAAACTATCCCCGTATCCCCGATATCTTTAATGTCTATTTATCTCTGTCTCAAACAGACTCGCTGACTGAGTCCCCACTACACTCTGGGATTCGCCACCCTCAATAACGAAGAAATTGAAGTTGCATCAGTCCTAAATGGTCTGCCCTGTATTGGTCGGCACAGTGGCATACTGGTTGTCATTGCTGGCTCATAGCACCAGGGACCCGGGGTTTGATTCCAGCCTTGAGTTACTGTCTGTGTGGGTTTCCTCTGGGTGCTCTGGTTTCCTCCCAGTGTCCAGAGATGTACAGGTTAGGGGGATTGGCCATGCTAAAAACTAACCCTAGTGTCCAGGGAAGTGCAGGTTAGGTGGGTCAGCCATGGTAATAAACCCCACATGGGATTACAGCGATGGGATGGGTCTGGGTGGGATGATCTCCAGCGGGATGGTGCAAGCTCAATTTGCTGAATGGCCTCTTTCTGCACTGGAGGGCTTCTGTTCTCTGATTGTGTCCTCTGTTTCTGGCAGGCTCATCCAGGGACAACACCTATCTGTAACCTATTCAATCTTTTCTGATAGTTCTGAACCCTCTCAATTCTGTTATCATCCTGGTAATGGGTAAATAGAGTGAGATGCACGCTTGTACCGTGACAATAGTGTTGGGCAACCTCAAGACTACCAACAGTGCAAATTATAAGCAAAAGCTCAGCGAGTTAAAGATATTGTACCTTAAGAAAACTCTCCGAGAGGAGGATAAGAACCCCAGGAAAAACGTCAGCAAATCTGGAAATTAATGGACTGTCCACACTGGAATTTCATTTTGAAGCATACAAGGTGAGTCAGGGTAGTATATCTCATTTGCAAATTTTATTCCTTCTGAGTTAAATGAATAGGAAATGATACATCATTTTGTACCATGAAATTTATCATGTTTTTTTAGGGCATTACCAATTTAAGGGTAGTTCTAGATGTTTGAACATCTTAATTGCCTTGGAGAAAGTGGTGGTGAGCTGTCTTCCTAATGCTGTCATACAGATACACCTATGACTTCTGCAGCATTGCAGAGGGCAGTTAACAGTCGGCCACATTGTTTTGGATCAGCATCCCCTGTAGGCCAGACAGGGTCAGGACAGCAGATATCCTCCCCTAAAGGATATTACTGAACCAATTCGTCAGTGGAATAACGAGATCAGCATTTTATTCCAGATTTGGGATTTGAAGTCATGTCTCCAAATCACTGGGCCAGATCCCTCAGATATTGTGCAGCAGAATGAAAGCAATGCTTTCATTCCACTGATCTGATGAAGGAGGATTGTTACAACCACAGAAACATTCACTCCTTAGAGGCTGTTACTCAATTCAGCAAGGTCCTGGCTTGTCCATACTGTGCTGGAACAAAGTCCCAGCCAGTCTGTACCCTTTCTGTTGGTATTGCTCAATTCCCCAACTAACAAAAATCAATCTTAAAAAGCACTTCTTGTGTTCACTTCAAAATGACCGAGGGATGAGTAGCTTATATACTTTCAGGACTAAAGTGGGCAAGAATCTTGAAGACAAGGTTTCACTGGTTAACACCAACTCAGAGGAGAAGGCAGACTAAATGGAATTGTGGAATGAACAACATAAAAATCCAAACTGAAGTTCTTATCTGACTAATCCTGCAACTATCAGAAAGTCCATATCCACAGGGGCATTTTCTACCATCAGAGGGCACTCTCATGACCTGCTCAGGTTATTAAGTTCCTGTATTCATTTTATATTGCTGTACTTTGCTACATGGGCATTTTGACAGGAGACTGCACTCCATTAGTTTGACTCTTTCACCAGATAACTGGGCCAAATGCAGACTTCCATCAACATGAGGCTGAGTGAATATGAGTCATTCAAGATTTAGTTTGGTGTGGGGGATGTGGTTTGCGAAAGAAAACGATGAGATTTATTTGGTTAAACTTTCAGGAGTCGAGGGATAATTAAGATTCTGACAACATGTGAACTAATATCCAGTTTCCACCTCTGTTTGCTTTTGCAAATGCTAAAAGCAATGGCTGAGTTCTGATCTCAGCCTGATCTCATGCCTTTTTTTTAAACTCATTCGCAGGATGTGGACATTGCTGGCTAGGTCAGCATTTATTGCTCATCCCTACAGTTAAGAAACAACCACATTGCTGTGGGTCTGGAGTCACATGTAGGCCAGACCCAGTTCTTCCAAACAGGGCATTAGTGAACCAGATGGGTTTTTCCAACAATTAACAATGGTTTCTTGGTCATCATTGGACTCCTAATTCCAGCTTTTTGTTGAATTCAAATTCCACCATCTGCCGTGGCGGGATTTGAACCCAGGTCCCCAGAACATTACCTGGGTCTCTGGATTGACAGTGCAGCGTTAATACTACTTGACCATCGCCTCCCACACCTCCCCTGGTTCCACCACACCAAAGACGACTAATCCTTGAGAAACTGAAGAGTAGGTCATTGCTCAATAGGCAGCACCCTTCCCTCTATTCCAAAGCAGCATGGCCACCAGAGACTCAAGTATAAATTTCAGGCTGACACTTCCAGTGCATACTGAACCTGTTCTGCACTGTCACAGGAGGCAACCTTTCGATGAGACAATTAAACCTAGGCTCCGTCTGCCCTCCCACATGATCCCATAGCACTAAAGATCAGCTTAAGGTCCTTGCTGTGCCCAAATGTGGTTACCCTTCCTACATTTCAAATGCAATTCATTGGCTGTCAAGTATTTTGCAAAACCGGAGAGCATGAGCCACATAGAAGGTAACTTCTTTCTTCGATTTTTTTAAACAGAGGCACCAAAGACAGACAGAAAGCACCTCATCAACACCGTGTCAATGGAACCAAGTGTTAACCCTACCTTTCCTCCTGAGATATTCAGCCACGAGTGCTGCCACATGAACATAGCACATAGCTGCCTGAAAACAAGATAAACAGCGGCAATTACCATCCATGAATTAATAGGGCACTCTAGAAAACATACGATTGAAAAAATAGCAATAAAATAATTAGCCGCAAGTGAGCGAATAATAAATAAGTGTTTCCGAGCAATAACTACTAGCAGCTCTAAGATCATACTCATGCGCATACTGCAGGGAAAGGGCTTTGTTGGGGGACAGACCTAATGTGTTTCTGCTATTGGGCTTCAACATCAAAAACTAGAGAACTCCCGACACCTATTCACTCAGCCAAGGCAGCTCGCTGGAGGTGAAAGGTCAGTGATGAGGCCTCCTACACCCCCCCCCCCCCCCCCCGCACCCCCCCTCAGCCTCCCTCTCCAGCAGGGAGATATGGGAATGTTTGCGTCAACAGCGGCTATCCGTTGTGATTGGCTGGGTGTCCACAAGCTCAGTACCCACTACACGTTGAGTCACATAATTATTCCTGCTCCGGTCTGTAAAGGTCAGAGCCTTACTTGTTCCTTCTACCTTTGGGTTAATGGGAATTGACTGCACAAATGAACTGGAAAAGTGATGGGTTGTCAATGCATGCAGTTCGTTAACTAGTTCTTGCGCACAGGAAGCAGAGAAGTTCCAACATCCTCCAACATATAAGACAATTGCATTTAACTGGGGAGAACACAGTTTCAACTTAATGAACCTGGGGTGGTTACAGAACAGAAGGAGGCCACTCAGCCTGAGAACCCTATGCTGGCTCTGTGCAAAAGCAACTCAGCTAGTCTCACTCTGTTGCTCTTTCTCTGGAATTTTTCTCTCTTCAGATGCTCATCCTATTCCCTTTTGGAAAACCATAGTTGAGTCTGCTTTCACCACTGCATTCTCAAGCAGTGCGTCCCAGATCTTAACCATTCACTACATAAAAAAGATATTCCCTCAGATTGCTTTCGGTGGTCAATCAATAATTTATTCTGTGCCCACTCAACAGAACCACTCCTCCAACCCCTGTTCCCACTCCACGCCAAAGACAACAGGTTCTCTCCATTGTCTCCCCGCGTGGTTTTGAACACCTCAAACCTCCTGACCCTTCTCTTGCACAACCTTTTCAGGGGAACTGGAGTCACTCACCCCTTGCAAATTGAAAATTAAAGACGAAATGAATTCGTCCCACAGTAAAATCAACACTAACCCGCGCATCAGCTTTAAGATCAGGCAGACTCCACGTATGAAGAAAACTCTCTTTCATAATCGTGAGGATTGCTCAACATATTGTGCTGCACATTGTGAGCTAGGGTTGACACTCTCAGAAGGATGTGGGTTCAAGTCCCACTCCAGAAGCTTGAGGAGATAATGCAGGTTGACACTCCAAAATCAGCAGTGACTGAGATCTAAACCCCATACGAGTTGCCATCTTTTTGATGGGATCTTAAACCAACCCCACATCTACCCTTTCAAAATGGACAGAGCAGATCCCCATGTCCATTATTTCAAAGGTGTCCAGGAAAATATCCATCCAATAATCATTTACTTTTCCCTTGTATAAAGTGATGCTATTTATCGCATTTCTGTCAGTGGGACCTTCCTGTGCGTAAACTGGCTGTTGTATTTTTCACAATTGCATCACATCAAAAGTACTTGACTGTGTGGAAAACACTTGGGATGTCCCGAGGTGAGAAACGTACTACAGAAATGTGAGTTTTTTTCAAACAAAATAAGACGACCTCTCAACCTCCTACGCTCCAATGAAAGAAGTCCTGGCCTATCCAGCACTTCTTTATAACTCAAACCCTTCCACACCTGGCAACATCCTGGAAAATCTTGATTTAAAAAAAGGCACAAGGGGAATTTTTTTTTTTTTTTTTACAGTGTGTGGTTTGCGTGTGGAATGAACTTCTAGAGGAAGTGGTGGATGTGGGGCACAGTTACAACGTTTAAAAGACACTTATGTAAGTACTTGAATAGGAAAGGCTTGCAGGGAGGTGGGACGCTTGGTATGGACTGGTTGAAATGAAGGGTCTGTTTCCGTGCTGCATGATGCTACGACAGTGGTCTGTTTAAAGTTACCTCAGACAAATCGCCATTCTTCATGTGGATCTTGGCCATGCTGTCCAACCAGGTCTTCCTCAGCTCTGGCGTGCTGGCATAGGACTTTGCCAGGCTGTACTGAAGATCCACGAGCATTTCCGGATCATTCTCATGCTCTTTCATTTGAGCCGTAGCCATTAGCACCGTGCGAATACGCTTCATTAAATCTTTCACTTCCGAAGGAAATGCTGTTGCCTGCAACACAAAGGCACAGGAGTTCCATTTACAGGGAATTCTATCAAAGCTGAACGCTTGGAATTACTTGTACTCATTTTTTTTTTTGAAAAAGAGGTAAGATTTTCTTTCGATGCGGGGCTCAACGTGTTGTTGTGGAGAGGGATGGCAGGGGTTTGAGAAATCCGGGTGGGGATGACTGAAGGGTGAAACTTTCAAACCCCCCTGGCTCTGCAGTGTTTAACTGTGAACGTCGAGTGGTCTAGCAAGGAGCCTCCAGCAGGCTCTGTTGGCACCGCTAAGGCAGTGGATATTTTCAGTTACTTTACTGAACTGATTTATTTAACGCAAGGTCAGGTCAACCTCTTTCACAACGCTCGCACCTCCCTCGCTATGGAGCCGCACATGCACGGGCGGGTCTGTGCATATGTGCGTGTTCCCTGCACGTGGTTTTACAGCAGAGAGTAAGGGGATAGCGGGTGCGAAATAAAAAACAATTTCCCCTTATTCCTCATCTGCTGGGTCTGGTGAGGGAGGGCTATCACAGTTTGAGTGAACTCCAGTCTAGCATCAAACCTCATGAATGGCAAACCAGAAGCAGAAGTTGCTGGAAAAGCTCAGCAGGTCTGGCAGCATCTCTGAAGAAAAGAAATCAGAGTTGACGTTTCGGGTCTGATGACCCTTCTTCACAACAGGTTTGTTCAACTGTTCTTCTCTCTCTTTGGGCTCTATCTGCACCTATCATTACCTCCTTACCCCTCCCCTCCACCCTAACTTCTGTGTATAATGCAACATTTTCCTAACTGCCATCAGTTCTGAGGAAGGGTCACCGGACCCGAAACGTTAACTCTGATTTTTCTTCACAGATGCTGCCAGACCTGCTGAGCTTTTCCAGCAACTTCTGTTTTTGTTCCTGATTTACAACATCTGCAGTTCTTTTGAGTTCTCACGAATGGGGAGTTGGCTATGGGAATACCTTTGAAAAGCAAACAACAGTCAGGAACTATAAATAAAAAGGACAACGGTAAGAATTTAGACTTAAGAGTTCTCCACGTCTAGAGACAAAAGGCAGGGAAAGCACACAGTTATGTCTTTCCAAATCTTAACACCCTCCTTAAAGGTGTGGGATGGATTTGCAGATCGTTAACCACCACACTTGACGATGTTGTGAATGCATTTTCTGTGACCAGTAAATCCTGGAGTGGGACTTCAGCCCCAGAGGCTGGGACACTACACACTACCACAAGGTGTCTGATTGTTGCAACATGGGAGGCAAAAATAATAACTCAGCAACCGGTCACAGAATGAAATACTAGAAAACTGCTCACCTTCACAGCTCTGTCACAGTTGGCACAATTGTTAATAATGGCCAAAGACTGCTGAAATCTGGTCCCACCGATTCCAACCACATCCGCTATCAACTGACTCACTGCGATGATCACCTGCAGGAAAGCAACTGAATCACTTAAGATTCCCAAACAAACAAGACCTTATTCTCTCAAAAGTCTCATTACATCCCTCTTCATCTCAATGTACATATCAGCATATCCATCTGCTCCTTTCCCCCTCATCTATTCATCCAGCCGCCCTATTAATCTCAACAAATGAATCACTGAAAAAAAACCTGGTCATTTTTGGTCAATAGATCTCAAGCCACACGGTGAAGTATTAGATTAGATGCAAATTCTCTCCTTGATGGTTGGTTTATTCACAGAATGCAGTGTTTTAACTGCCCTTCTTTATGTTGTTTTCAAAGGCTAGGACCAAGATCCACCTTTCTATGTGGGAACTATTTGTTTAAAATCAGCCTGCTCAGAGATGTTGTCACACAGCTCCAGCACAGGTGGGACTTAAACCCGGGTTCTCCTGGCTCTGAGGTAGGGTCGCTACCGTTGTGCCAACAAAAGCCCAATTCTGTCCTTCTGTATATTTATTTTTATATCTAGAAGTGCTTTTACACACAGCTAAAAGTTTTCCTCCACACCTTCAAATCTCCGATAGTGCTTTTTCATCTATTAGCCACCACCACTATTAGTTTTCTGATTGTTTAATTGACATACAAAGCCCATTGAATGCAATGCAGACCACCAAAGGTGAGGGGGTAGGTGGAGGGGGAGGGATCTAAATCAAATAGAGTTGGAAGGGTATCCTCTTTACGTTGCTTTGAAAACCAATTAAACCTTATAACCCTTTGTGCAGTTCATTGCTCCTTCTGAGATGGTTAATCAACCTGTTCAGAGATGCTATGGGACAACTCTGGAGCACGTGGGTGTTGAACCCAGGCCTCCTGGCTCAGAGGTGGTGACACTACCACTGAACCACAAAAGCCCTAAAGTTAGGGACGTAAAGCTCTTGTTAAGTGTCTTCAGCTGTTACTCACTGTTTGATTAAGGTTTTGGCGTCTTTCCCAAACTTCTGTTCCAAATAACGCTGATCTTGCTAATGTTGATCTTGCCTAACCCACACCCTGAGCAATGTAACTTGTATGCCTCTGTCTAGTTGTTCATTTCATCCTTTGATCTGTACGTCCTTGATCTGCCTGTACTGCTCGTAAACAAAGCTCTTCACTGTACTTAGGTACATGTGACAATAAATCAATCAAATACTGCCAGAAATGAGGTGCAAAATTTTTCTCACTTTTCTGCTCAATATAAGTGATCAATGCCAATTTTGCTAGACTGCAACTGGATTATACCTTCCACTGACTTCTACCTACATTCTAAAAATATTCCACTGTTTCTTCCTGAACACAATTAATACATCAGGAGTAATTTTAGCCTACTTCAGCTGTGAGAAAACTCAGGGGGTACATTGTTGGGTCTGCATCCTATCCAATTTTACTCTCCTTTGGACCAAAAAGTAGTTTCGGCTGGATATCAACTCAGTGTTGCACTCAATGCCTTGGGTTTCGGAAGGGCTGTTTAAACTTCGCCCTATATTTTTCTGCAGTTAGTCAAGGGAAGCAGTTTAGTCTGAAATGTTTATAAATTCCAAGCATCGCCTACCAATATTATGCTGTTCCAAATGGTATGCAGAACAACTGGACGACAAGTATAATCCACCCCACCTACTTTCAATGATCTGTTCCTAATCTCTGAGTAGTAATTCTCACTTAGCTACATTATTTACTTGATCAGCTTAAATAATCTACTGTGAATTTTCACTGCAACATTCTATTACTCGTGCGTTGTGCTTTTCTTGAATTAGCCTGGGGTTTGGGGATCCAATTGCTCCCCATTGTTTTGCCATGGTAACGCCTAGACCAATCCATTAAATTGCCAACCAATCAGCACCCTTTTCTCCTCTAGAATAAATTGTTGCAATCGTTTGAAACATGACATTCTTGCATTTAGCCTGATGATTGCAGGGTGAAAGGCTTCAGCAATGTGCTTCGCTTTTGCAGCAAGATTAGCAGACAGTTTGGCCCTTCCTTCTAAATTCCATAGGCCAAAATTCAAATCTCCATGGTGACTGGGCTAAGTTTCCTTTTGTTCTTATGGTGCCTCAGATGGTCAATATGGAGCCAAACCAAGAGGAGGTTGGCAATGAGGAAGTTTCCTGCCGGAGTCTTTATAAATGTTGTAAGATTTCTTCCCAACAGTTTAAGTTGGATCTGAACCCAGGTCAAAAGGTGAAAGAACAGTGTATTCAAGTACCCTCGCCACTCTGTCTCCCTAAAGTTCTTTTTGAACTTTAACACAGTGTACCTCATTGCATTTTGTTTTAAATAGCTACAAGATCAAAAAAACATGACAAAGAAAGGGAGGTGATTCGATGAACTGCAACAAGAGGCCCCATCAGTTTTAAAAATGCCACAGCTGCACCAATTCATGCAGTAATATCAAGGCTTTAGTGAAAGGAAATGATTTCTGCAGCAGTTCCCATCGCCTGGCACGCATTCTAACACCATCAGGACCTGTGGAGTGTTCCCCTCATCTCTGCAAGAATCACACATCCATTTGGCTCAAGATAAATCCTTGGGAAATTCCTGGAGCAAAACCCAGCCTTTTGCTGCACAAAATACTGGGGTGTGAAAAATACGAGCATAGAGCTTGGCAAAGGACATATCCACCAGAGTGAGTAATTTTAACAGCAGACCTCAGCAAATAAAGAGAAACCTTTCACTATAGAATCTTTTAGAAATGATTAAGTTTCTTTTGGGAATACAGTAAACATTAGTTATAAGGAACTGCTCTCATTGGATGATAGATATAACATGAATAACACTAAACAATGCCAGCTGAAAGTTTTTACAATCCCTCAGAAGAGGTTTGTACAAAATAAATATTTCCACCAGATAAACCCTAACTTTTCAATAATGAACAAAGTCAGTTTTGTAACATTTCCTAACTTGAGAATGACACATTACTGAATTCCACTTGAAATGTCCTATTTGAAATTGCAATGCCAAGGTTGGAAGCAAGATACAGCTGGCGATGTTCAAGATTCAAAAATATGTTTCAAACATCTACAGAACAGGCATCAAGCTCCCACAGGATGTTTGACAGAGCAAACTAGTTAGTTTTACGTCCCCTTGCTCTTCATCGCTATTCCCGCAATTATTTTGGTTCACTTTCATGTCTCTGCTCAATTTTCTTTTGAAAGCTGTTGCTGAATCTGCTTTCATTACTCTTTCAGCCCATTTCTTTCATTCGAAGCACTGACCTGTAGATGTGTCCTCACAAAGGATTTTCTCCCTGTCCACTCAAAATTGTTCCTCATTAAGAAATAAAGGAGGGTAGATGCATCCCCTCGGATGGTGCTTAATTTAGAGTTGCAGCACTTCAGAATCTCGTAGCACATTGTGGCACACATGTCAGCTCTGCCTTCGAAGAATGTGGATGGAAACTGAAAAATAAGACACCCCGGAAATGGGCTTTTTATGGAAAACACAGACAAACTTTGAGAGTTATAAAAATTAAATACATTTCTACTGAGGACGGAAAAAGAATTTAAAAATGGACCGATGTTGGTACCTTGTAGACAAGGTTCCTCAGAGCTGCAAAAACGTACTTCAAGGCCATTTCTGATTGATTGATTTGGACAAAGCAGAGGAGAACATTGAAAACTTTCTTCATCAGGGGGTTGTGTCCATTATCGGCAAGCAGCTGACCCTAGGGAGGACAGCACATGAAAAGCATCAACTTTACGTTAGTCAGCCAGCTGCTGTGAGAATGGCCCAGGCTAGACAAGAGGTCAACAACGTATTCACACAGCACAGTAACAAGCAATTCCACCCAATAGATTCATGTTCCACTCCTGCTTCCTCCCACCCCTTTTCATCTCACCTTATCAGCATGTTCTTTCAATCCTCATATCTTCATCTAGCTTTCCCTTAACTGTGTTCATGCTATTCAACTCAAGTTGAGTAGATCTTGACAATAGATCAAAGTCAGAAATATATGTCAGTGAAGATTCCACTAAGCATTTCAATGGTATTTTATGCTTACATTTCCATTTTTCAGCTTTCTCACTTCTATTTAAACCCCATAACACTTTTTTTGGAAAATTAACTGGAATTCAGCATTTCAGGGCAATCAAAAATCGAACTGACCTTGGTACAAGAGGCATATATGTTCACAGAATCAAGGGAAAACTGGCTAAACATGTGAGACAGAAATGAACCAAAGGATAACCGATAAAGTGAGATGCAACAGGGTGGGAGGAGGCTCACATGGCACATCAATGCTGGAATAGACCAGATGGGTTAAGGGCCTGTTTCTGTACTGTAATCAAAATTAAGTGTGAGGATTGATAAGTGGGGCTTGTTTCCTTGTTAGCACTGTTAGTACTGTTAGCAGGAGAGACCAGCAAGTGCAAAGACCCATTGCAAATGAACAAAGGAACTTCCATGACATTTGAATGAGCGTACCTTAAAAACATGAGTGAATAAAGCCATCATATCCAGAACGGTGAGACACACTTCTGTTGCAATGTTAGCTTCGACGAGTGATTGATGCAGGACATCGGCATCGGTGTGGCCATAGCCTAATTAAAGGTAGCAAGATGTTACCACTTTTGTCACCATTCAGTACAACTGACCCAAACTAAAACATTTAACTGATTCACAAAGGCTTTAGGCCTTAAAATGAAGCAAGCCAGATCTGAACTCTAAATAAGATTGCTGTTTGTACAATTACGCTGATTTGAAGATAGTTTCTTTTCTGTGCATATTCTGCCTTAAACTATTCAATGACCCCGCCATAAGACCATAAGAAATAAGGGCAGAATTAGGCCATTCGGCCCCTTGGGTCTGCTCTGCCTTTGGATCACATCTGATGTTTCTCTATCACCTTCTGAGGCTGTGTTCAAAGTCGCACAAGTCTCTGAGGAAAGTAACTTAATAGGAAGGGTTTAGAGGGATATGGGCCAAATGCTGGCAAATGGGACTAGATTTATCTAGGATATTTGGTCGGCATGGACGAGTTGGACTGAAGGGTCTGTTTCCGTGCTGTACATCATAATGACACTAAAAGGGAACCTGGTGACCCCCCACTAATTTTAAACAGTGCCCCCCATTCCCCTAGTTGAGTACTCATCTACACACATAAACTTTATTTCCACAACCACTTTGTCAAGACTGTTTAGGACCATTTACACTTCAATCATCACCCCTTGCTTTTCTGAACTCCAGTGGAAACAAGCCCAGCCTGTCCAAACCTTCCTCATAAGGTAACTTGCTCATTCATCAATCTCCTCCCACTGTCAGCAAAACTTTCTATTTCTGTTTCCCTCTTGTATTTATTGAACTTTCACTTACATATGTCTGTTCCTCACCTTACCCACTCTCAGAGTTCCATGTTTAAAACACCCTGTGTAGAGATATTCCACCTAAAGACCTGTTGGATTTATCTTATATATAATTGCTCCTAGTTAGGTCTGGCTCATGAGCGGTAACAGCATCATCATTATAAGCATCTCTCGAAGTTCACCCCTCACCCTGCCATATCAGTTTCAGGCTTTTGGTTATAGAGTCATAGGCATACAGCATGGAAACAGGCCCTTCGGCCCAACTCATTCATGCTGACCAGGGTTTCCAAAACTGTACGAGTCCAATTTGTCTGTGTTTGGCCCGTATCCCTCTAAACTTCTCCTATCCACATACCTGTCCAAATGTCTTTTAAATGCTGTAATTGTAACCACCTCTACCACTTCCTCTGGCAGCTTGTTCCATAAATGCACCAACCTCGGCGTGAAAAAGGTGTCCCCCAAGTCCCTTTTAAATCTTTACCCTCTCACCTTAAACTTACAGCCCCTAGTTTTGGATTCCCTTGGCTCTTCACCCTATCCAGACCCCTCATGATTTTATAAGTTCACCCCTCAGCCTCCTATGCTCCAGGGATCTGGTATTCTTCTTAAAATCTTAGTTACACTTTCTCCAGTGCCTCTAATATCTTGCCTCAAGTGACGTTCAGTTGCATGTACTTCATAAAACGTACCAACGACAAAGACGTTAAGTAACTAAGACATGCTGTGCTTCTAGAGACATCAGTAACCATATTCCCTCAAACTGTGTCCTTCTATCTCCATTCAATTACTCTGGTTACAACTCCACGAGTCAGAAATAAATTGTAATAAAAGTTCCATTTGTATGACATCTACAGTTTCCCATTAAAGCTAGATACAACTAGGTAAGTAAGATGGAGATTTAATAAGGTAGAATACCATACATTTAAAAAGATGAATAATTTTTTTCAAATGTGGATAAAATTTTCAGTAATTTATGGCCTTTTCATTTGGCCTTTATTGCTAAGGCACTGGAGATTAACAATAGGGAAGTCTTGTTACAACGGTATGGGGTGTTGGTGAGAACGCACCTAGAATACTGACTACAGTATGGTCCCTGATTTTAAGAAAGGATGTACTGAGATTGGTGACAGTTCAAAAGAGATCTACAGGGCCAATTCCTGCAATGAAAGAATGGCTAAACAAATTAGGCCTTTATTCATCAAAGTATAGGAAGAAGAGGGACGATCTTATTGAAACATACAAGATCCTGAGGGGCTGGGCAGGGTAGATGTTACGAAGCTTTTTCCACTAGTTAGAAAATCTCAAACTAGGGGACATAGTTACAGAATAAGGGACATGCATTTAAAATAGAGATGCAAAGGAATTTCTTCTCTCAGAAGGTAATAGATTTCTGGATTGCTCCACCTCGGAGAGTTATGCAGGCCAGATGCCTGCAAGTATTTAAAAAGGTAGATGATTGAAATATCAGAGAGTTGAGGGCTATCAGGACTTGGCATGGGCAGACTAGCCAAGGACAGAACTTATACAGTTAATGGTAGGGCCCTGGGTTGTTGAACAGAGAGGCCTCGGGGTTCAGGTGCATAGCTCTTTGAAAGTAGCGTCATAAGTAGACAGGGTGGTTAAGAAGGCATTTAGCACACCTGCCTTTATTGCTCAGAGTACAGGTGTTGGGATGTCATGTTGAGATTGTACAGGACACTTTTTGAGAACTGGTCGCCCTGCTACAGGAAGGATATTGTTAAATTGGAGAGGGTTCAGAAAAGATTTACCAGGATGTTGCCGGGACTGGAGGATTTGAATTAAGTGGAGAAACTGGATAGGCTGGGACTTTTTTTCACTGGAGCGCAGGAGGTTGAGGCGAGACTTTACAGAGGTTTATAAGATCATGTGGGGCATAGATAACGTGAATAGCCAAGGTCTTTACCCTAGGCTGGGGGAGTTCAAAACTAGAGGGCATATTTTTAAGGTGAACGGAGAAAGATTCAAAAGGGACCTGAGGGGCAACTTTTTCACACAGAAGGTGGTTCGTAAAAGAATGAACTGCCACAGGAAGTGGTGGATGCAGGTACAGTTACAACATTTAAAAGTCATTTGGACAGGTACATGAATAGGAAAGGCTTAGAGAGATGTGGGCCAAATGCAGGTAAACGGGACTAGATTATTCTGGGAAACTAGGTCGGCACGGCCTGGTTGAACTGAAAGATCTGTTTCTGGCTGTATGACTCTATGATCTTGTAGAAAGATGGGGCAGGCATGAGGCGTCATATGGCCTGTCCCTGCTCTTATTTCTTGTGCATTCACTCCCCAAACTTTTCTCATTCTATATCTCACTCCCCCTTTAAGATGCTCCTTAAAACATGCCTCATAACCTGATATGCCATTTCTCTCTCTAACTTGGTGCCTAATCCTAATCCTATCCCTTAGCCATGGGAAACGCAAGGTTACAGGGAAAGGATAGGGGAATGAGTCTGGGTGGGATGCTTTTCAGAGGGTCGGTGGGAACTTGTTGGGCTGAAGGGCCTGTTTCTATACTGTGGGGATTCTATGATTAAGAGTAGCTATTACACTGGAAGAGTTTCAAAGACTCATGACCCTCCATGAGAAAAGAATTCTCCTCATCACAATGTAAAATGAGCAACCCCTTATTTTTAAAGAGTGACCCCAATTCCAGATCCTCCCACAAGAGGAAACATCTTCCCCACGTTCACCTTATTAAGAATCTTCAGTATCTTCGATGTTTCAATAAAATGGCTTCTTACTTGCTAAACCCCAGTTGATACAAGTATAGTCATTAAATCTCTCTGTGCAAGGCAATCCAATAAATATTCTCTGAATTGTTTCCAACACATGACAGCTGGTGACGATTCTGCCTCTCCCGTTTTCATTTCGCTGAATCCTCCCTTTCGTCCTTCACTGTTCCATTACCCTCCTGGTTTCATTGTGAACAAGCTTCTCATTTGTCATTTAATCTCTCCTGGCCTCCATGCAATCACAGGTTGAGTTCCCACTCACTGGCATTACTTCACAAGGTACTAAGCAGAAATGGGAATTTTCCGGTTCTACTGGAAGGAAACGAGTTGCATGTTACCCCTGCCTCCCTGGCAAAATAACAGCCAGCAATACTTGGGAGAAGATCTGAGGGCTAGTTCAACCAATTGGTTCAAAATGTTGTGAAGGGATGGTGGGTTAGAACTCCAAAGGGTTCAAGGGAGTGGAGTTTAATCAGCTGAGAGACTCAACTGCTGAAACATTGAGTTTTGGGCTATAAATCCCCAATATTAGTCATGTACAACATGAATGAGTCTCCAAAAAGAATGACAGAAAATAAGTTTGAGAAGCTCTGTCCAACAGGGATCAGAAGCATAGCAACAATAATCCAACGATGTAACCTTGCAGGGTCTTACCATTGTCTACAGAAATTCCAAGTACACTGGATAGCTTTCTTACACTGGAAACAGAGATAAGGTCATTTTGTTACTAATGTTTTGATACCAGTACACAGTTTTTGCATTGACTCACATTCCTTTTGAGATTTTTTTTAAACAAAGTCTGATCAGAACATTGTTAATGGTACAAGTTTTCCCCCACAGTTTGTGTACATTGAATATAGACCAGCAATATTCAATGTGATGGGCTCTAGGCATTTTAAAGGAGTGGAACATGATTATCTGAAAGACATTTGAATTCAATGCATCAACCTTTCACAGGATTGAAACATTTCTACAGTCCATGAATGGTTTTTAAGCCAATTACTAGCCACATTTTCAGATTCAGAAAATTAATCAAGGCATGGAGAAGGAAAAAATAATAAATGTATAGAATGAATTGGAACGATATTGATCATGCAGTGATACCTAGCTGTCACAGTAATGCATATCCAAGCCAAATGTGCGATTGTGAATTATGTGCGTGCCAACCGAATGAAGACGGTGTGGTACAGGATCTTTATAACTTATCCTTTGTCTGCTGGCATCAAGGAATAAGGACACTGAGCCCATGATGAAGGCTTGAAAGCGAGAGCAGTAACTAATCCCAATAACCCACGTCTCTTCAATGTAATCCTGATTTCTGCTGCCCAGTATCATACACTTACTCTTTTCACATGATGCAACAGTTTCTAACTGGATGATTCCCTGCGGTGTGTGACAAAGCATTTTGTGCTCTAATAGCTCACTCCTTTTCTCCTTCACATTTTGTAACAGCAGTTGGCAAGTAGTCATTTCAAATTTGTCTCCCAAATCACAACGGTGGGTCAGTAAGCACCATCGATGTCTCCAAGTTAGAAGGCAGCGGGTTCAGGTCCCACTTCAGGATTTGAGCACAGAGTCTAGGCTTATACCCAGGAAAATACTGAGGGAGCATCGCACTGTTGGAGGGTTAGTGGTGAGGGAGCGCTGCATTTCAGGGGGTCGATGCTGAGGGAACGCTGCACTGTCAGAGGGGCAGTACTGAGGGAGCGCTGCGCTGTCAGAGGGTCGGTACTGAGGGAGCGCTGCACTGTCAGAGGGGCAGTACTGAGGGAGCGCTGCACTGTCAGAGAGTCAGTACTGAGGGAGCGCTGCACTGTCAGAGGGTC